ACACACACACACACACACACGCACACGCACACAGCATGTATTGCCTTCATTGTAAGGCTTATACAAGGCGATTCATGTTTTGTGGCTCCACACAGAAAATAAAGTCACTCTTGTTTGGCGAGCCGATATCAGTGGAGTCTTCCTTCCCCACTGCCAGTATCCAGCCGCCAAGTGGAAGAGGAAGTCGAATCAACCCCAGCCACACCTGAGGTGTCCCACATGTCAAAAGGAAACAAGCGCAAGTGAAACGTGGCAGACAAGCGCATACGCTTCCGGGCTTTACCGTCACTCGGTAAGACGCGTGCCGTCGGCAATGCTCTCGAAGGTCACGCGAGCGCCGGCCGGCCGCTCCCCTGCGAGCATCGCGTCCGCTCGCTCGCCGGCCGGCACCCGCGTACGCACGGGAAAAGAAAAGGGCGGCGTGGAGCGCGGCGCCTACAGTAGGTCGGCCCCGCGGGAGCCGGGCCGCAGGACGCGCAGAGTGACGATGTGCCCGACAGCCCTTCGAAACCACGGGTAGAACAAGGCGTAGATCAGCGGGTTGGCGCAAGAGTTGAAATCCAACAGGTAGAGCGCGTATTGCGCCGATGACGAAAAGCCCAATTCGCCCACCAGAGCCACGATGTAAAATGGACAATAGCAAAGGAGGAAGACGAGCACCAGGACCCCGAGCGTCCGGGCCGCCTTCAACTCGGATCGCTTGGCTCCGCGTCGCGGCGCGCCGCCCGCGACTCGCGAGCGCAGGGCCCGCGCCTGGGAGGCGGCCGCCGCGAACACCCTGGCGTACAGAGTGACGATGACGCAGAGGGGAAGGACGAAAACCACGATCAGATCGAGAAGGCCTCCGTCAACGTCGACGGCGATCACGCACTCGCCGCGGCACGAGCTGCACTCTTCCGGGCGAGCCAACGGCTCCCTCAGAAGCGCGCAACAGTAAAGAAAGGACAAAAACCAGCAGAGACAAACGCAGCCTTGAATTCTCTTGACGGTCACTTTGACGCCGTAGCGCAGAGGGTCGCAAATGGCCACGTAGCGGTCGGCCGAAATCAGCACCATGTGGCCCACCGAGACCGACGTGACGACGAAGGACACCAAGTGGTAGCAGAAGCAGGCCACGTCGCCAAAAGCCCAGCAGCTCGTGCTCATGTAGAGCTCGCCGGGCCACATCACGAGGCCCACCAGGAAGTCGGCGACGGCCAGCGAGAGGAGCAGCAGGTTGGTGGGGGTGTGCAGCTGCCTGCGCGCGAGGAAAGAGGGAAGGGGGGGAGAAAAAAAAAAAAAAGACCACAAGACAGAAGAGACACGTTCTCAGGTGGGCCACGACAACCGCGCGCGAAACGTGGCGCCGCAGGCGAGGTGTGAAGCTAAAAGCACGCGCCTGAAGTGGGAGATGGCGATGACGACCAGCAGGTTGAGCAGCACGGTGAGCGCGCAGACCGCGGGCAGCAGAACCCGCGGGAGGACGCCTTGGGAGGAAGCCCAGCGGGGTTTCCTGCACGAGAGGTTGCCCAGCTGCGGAAAGCAGAGCTCCGATTGCTCCTCGGCCTCCATCCGGACGCCGGCCGCCGCCCGCGCGGCGATCTGTCTGAGTCGCTCCGCCGCGCGCCTCCTTTATGCGTTCAAGTACCTCCCCCAAGCGAATCGGATTGGAGCAAAGTTTGTCGGAGTTTGCAAAGTATGGCCGCGAGCGCCGCACGCGTCAACGCTTAGACGAACACATCTTCCAATTCAGATTCCAAGATGGCCGCCAAAGCGGGTTCAGGGGGCCCGCCGAGGGTTCGGCCGAAGCGTCGACAGAGGAAATCTACGACGGGGCTCGTCCCGCCGCGACCGACCCGACCCGGCCGAATGACGCGCAGGCGAAATCAAAGCGTGTCGAGAGAGAAAGGAGCCCCCCGGGGGGACCTGCTCGGGCGCTTCGGAGATCTGATCCGAGCCGGCGAGGGAGCCGAGCTGAAACTCTTTTCCACTCCTGTCGAGACGGATTTGGTGGTGGACAGAATGAGATCGAGCGGCACCACAACTGATGTTTCACCCGAGTCCGTATCGACTCGAATATCGCTCGAATGTCACTTTCGGCAGTGCCGCCCGCGGTGCTGTCTGAAGTCCGACCGAAGTCCGTCTTCCATCTGGAAGTCCTTCGGCTGAGCTACGATTGTCCTTCCGATGGTTTTCCCGACAAAAGGGAGATTGGACGTCGGCCCGTCATTGCTAAACACAGACTTGGGTAAATTGCTTTTCTGGAGGCGGGCCTTGACAACGGCGCTTCTCAGGCGCTCCCAATGGGCCGTCCGCATCTCCGTCCCCTTTCAAAGGACACGCGGAGCACACGGTTGGGAAACGATGGGTTCGGCGGACAAACCCCACGGACGGCCGAGCCCGCAATTCACAAAGTGGGCCGGCTGTCGACTGGTTAGCGCGCCCGCCTCACGGTGCCGAAGTGTCGGGCTTCGGCCCCGGCCTTCCCGTGCGCCCGACTTTGTGTGCCCTGTGATCGGCTGCCGACCACTTCAGGGCGTCCCCCGCCGACTGCCCGAAGAAAACGGATGGAGAGAATGGATGGATGGATGGACTTCTTCGTGTCTGTGTTTTATTTTCCCGAGGAATCGATCCTCTGCTGTTTCCGAATGGATGTCATTCATGGCAGCGGATTGAAATCACATGACTTGATATGCTGGACTTGAGGGCGCACCGGCGGCACGGTCACAGTGTGTGTGTGTGTGTGTGTGTGTGTGTGTGTGTGTGTGTGTGTGTGTGTTTCATTGCGCGTATCGCCTCATTTGCACTCAGAAAGGCCCCCAAACGACCACAGGTAGTCGCAGCCCGGCCGCTAACAAGTCCCAAGTCATTGTCACAAGAGAGGAAAGAATGTCCGAGAGCGACATTGAGCGAGCGGTCGGAGGATTTGAAGCAAAAAAAGCAGGCGAGCACGCCTGCCGCCGAATGAAGCGGGGGGCCCGCAAACGAGTTGCTGCGTCGGGTTGTCCGACGTGACGCCGCGGCTGTCCGTATCCAAGCAGCCGGCCTCCCTCGGCCCCCTACTCGGAGACGCGCAGGCCCGGAGCCGATCGTGCGGACGGCAGAATATTTCTGCATTGATGAAATGAAATCCCGTCCTCCCCCGTAAATTCAGTTTGGTGAACCCGCTACTCGGGATACGTGGGAATTTTCACACGTGCGCTTGGTCCAGCCTCCGTCTTAGTTAGCAGCTCCAGGGACCTTAGCGACACGCACGAACGACCTTTGACACTCGGGACGGCGAGACATTGCCGCGATTTCATCCCGGGAGGTTTTCACGTTGCGTCTTACCATCTTCCATTTGCCACCATAGAATGCATTCAGATATGAGTTCATGATTGGCGCCGGCGCTCCGGGCCCCGTCGTACGCTTTGTTCATGGGGGGCGGGAGGTTCCTCTTGAGGTCGTGCATCGTCCTGACGTCTGATTTGGATGCGGTGAAAGACGGTTCCGATCACGGCGACGATGACCGGGAAGTTGACGTTGAAAAGGACGGAGCAAGGCCAAGCTCAAACGGGTCCGCACTTTATTGTCACAATGCAAATCGGACACATTGGCTCAAGGATGCCCTTCGCTCTCACGGAAGTGACGGCGGCAAAAAATAGGAGCAGAAGGGCGAAGCGAGGCGGCGGGCGGCGACGGCGCTGCGAACGTCGCGGACGTCTGTCAGACGACAATCCAAACCTCTGCGTCGCACGTCGAGTCTACTGCAGGTTGACCCACCGGGAGCCCGGCCGCAGTATGCGCAGGGCGACGATGAGTCGAACCGCTCGTCGAAACCACGGGTAGAACAAGGTGTAGATCAGCGGATTGATGCAGGAGTTAAAAAAGTAGACGTGAAGAAGAAAAGTCCTGAGCGGAGACGTTTCGGAGCTGCCTTGTACGAACGCGGCCACGTAGTACGGACAGAAGCACATCAGGAAGACCAGCACCAGGACGCCCAGCGTCTTGGCCGCCTTCAGCTCCGATCTGTTTGCTCGCGGGAGCACCGAACGCCGCAAGCGGACACGTTGGACGCGAGGGCGCAGGGCTCGTGCCTGCAACGCCGCCGCCGCAAACACTCTGCCGTACAGGGCCGCGACGGTGGCCAGCGGGAGGGCGAAAGCCACCAGCACGTCCGCCGCGCCGGCCCCGTCGTCGAGAGTGAGGACGCACTCGCCGTAGCAGGAGCGAAACTTTCCCGGTCGCGCCAGCTGCTCCTCGCAAATGACGCAAGCGTAGAGAAGAGACGAGAGCCAGCAGAGACAAACGCACGCTCGGATTCTTCTGACCGTCACTTTGACGCGATAATGCAGAGGGTCGCAAATGGCCACGTAACGGTCGGCCGAAATCAGCACCATGTTGCCCACCGAGGCCGACGTCACCGTGATCAAGATGATGAGGAAGAGCGCGCACGCCGTGTCCCCGAGCAACCAGCAAGAGGCCCAGCTGTAAAACTGCGTGGGGATCATCAGGAGACCCCCCAGCAAGTCGGCCACGGACAGAGAGAGGAGGAGGAGGTTGGTGGGGGTGTGCAGCTGCCTGCGCACAAGGGGAAAAAAAAAAAGAGACAAATAAAATGCAACAACAACGACGACGACGGCGGGGGGGAGTGTCGGAGCGGCGCGTCCTCAATTGGGTCCCCGGGCGTGACGAGCGGCGCGAGCACGTGCCTGAAGTGGGAGATGGCCACGATGACCAGCAGGTTGAGCAGCACGGTCGCCGCGCAGATCGGCGGCAGCAGAACGCCCGAAAGGACCCTGTAAAGAAAAACCTGCTCGGGAGCCGAAGACGACTTCCTGCACGAGAGGTTGCCCAGCTGCGGGAAGCAGAGCTCCGATCGCTCCATCCGGACGCCGGCCGGCACTCCCGACGCCGCGCTGTCGGAGCGCCGCATATGAGGGTTTCAAGGACCGCCCCCGAGCCGATCCCATTGGAGCAAAGTTCTCCGACTGTGATGTCACCGGGAGCGCCATCACGGATGCAAGTTTGGTCCGTGCGTACGCCCGACTGGAGAAGCGTTGGTGTTGTTGTCGAAAATCCACTCTGGACCGTCTTGACCGAGTTGGATCTGCGTTTCCTAGGAAGCCGCACGTGTACCGGCGGTTCAGAGAGGATCCCCCCCCCGCCCCCTGCCCCTCTCGCGCCCACCAAATGGCGAACTTTGTCCTGCCGCGCCCCAAACGCAAAGGTCACTTTATGTGTCATCGGTGGCGTGCAAAAATCGGCCACGGCGAAAGATGGTTCGCCTGAAAATAAAGGCAGGGGGTCGGGAAGTCCGGTTCCGAGAGAGAGCCGGACCCCGCCTGGCCACCTCAACGCCATCGGCTCACCGGCAAGGCCTGAAGAAGCCCGAAACGAGCGCGGTCAATCCAATCGGCTGTTTTTGAGACCTTGAGGGCGCTTCGGTCCATAAGACGCAGCCTTGGATTCCAAATCCAAGAAGGCCGTGTCTGCAACGAGTCTCTTCGCTTTTGGTTTTTGTTTTGTCTTTATTCTGGCAACATCCGCAATGGTCCGAATGACTCCACGCCCCCCCCCCCCCCCCAAATTCACTTCGCCCTCCCGGGACCGTTTGACGACCGCCAAAGTTGACGCGGCTCATTCAAAGTGGCTCCGGGGGGAGGGGGGGGGGCTGAATTTTCAAAGTCGTCATGCGGCGAGCGATCGCGAGAGATTTTTCATTGTCCGCCAACTTCCTGTTGGGGCTCAATTCAAAAAGTTGAAAGGCCTTGTAAAGGTCACGGTGTCTTTGGTAAGGTGACGCTGCCTTCATCGTGATCCACTTGATGAAGAAAAACAAGATTGCCGCCCCGGGATTGCCCCACATGTTGTCGTGTTGTTTTCACACGTCTAATTGCGAGCCGCCGTCAACATGGCGCGCTAATGGGCCAAGGTGTGAAGCGGCGGCAAAAACATGGCCGGCGGCCTCCGAGGACGGCGGCCTCCGAGGACGACGTCCTCCGGGGACGAGCGCGCTCCGACTTCACGACCGCACGAGGTTCCGCTCGGTGTCGTTTCTCGCTCGAAATGCTCGAATCCGACTGGATCGCTTTGCGTGACCGGGCCTCGGCTGACGACCTTGCGGGAAAAGCCCATTTTGGCTCTGCGGCGAACGAAACAAGAGGCGAAACAAAGGGTGCACCCAAGCTTTTGGGGGGGGGCGTCAGTAAATTTCGAACGGCGCTCGGGCAGAAACGTGGGCCTTCACCATCTTGCGACACACATCCGCACGCGTGCTCGGGCTTTGGCGACAATCGAGCCAAGGCGACGGCTCGGCTGCTTCAACTCATGACGGACGTTTGACAGTTTGGCCTCCCTGGAGCTTTTTTGGCGGCTCTGATCGCGACGCGTACGCCCGTCCGGCCGGGAAAGCGGTTGTGCGGTTGGATTTTCAAAGCGTTCCGCGGTTGCGGCTTTTGAGCATGCGGATTTTGTGGCAGGTCATCAAAGTTCGCCATGAAGCCCGACCTCCACGCTGGCCACAGACCGAGCGCGCATGACGAAAACACTCCATTTGGACACCCTCCCCGACAACCCGATTCAGGGCCGTCCAAGTCCCGGGTCATCGGGGCCCGGTTTCCCTCAAAGGGCTGCGCCGACTCTGAAAGCGGATCAAGGTTGAATCGCCTCCTCATATTGGGACAGTCCGCAAGAATCGGATATCCAAAGTCATTTGGAAATGGGAAGCGAAGGCTCACCGCTCGTCAGCGACGGACCACCGGAATTTCGGTGTCAACTTTACTGGCGCGAGATTTGCCGTCCGGCCCCCGGGCCGCGAGTTTGACACGTGTGCTTTACTGGACACGCAGGGCGGCAAACGGTTCAGGGTGTAGTCCGCCTCTCAGCCCCAAGTCCGCTGGGATAGCACGTCCGCCCCCTCCCCCCGGTGACCCTCTTCAGGATAAATGGATGGAATTTTTTTTTCGACCTTTCAGCGGCCCCTCTGCCAGGGCGGCGTCTCAATTCGTGGAGCTAGCCCCTCATCCTAGGCCGCAGGCATCAAAGTCGGGTCCTGGAGGGCCGCCGTCCCGCATGTTTTCCAAGTTTCCCTGTTGCAACACACCCGATTCAAACGAACGGCTTCAATATCAGGCTTCCGCTGACCTCGCTGATGATCCGATCATTTGAATCAGGTGAGTTGCAACAGGGAGAGATGGAAAACGTGCAGGACGGCGGCCCTCCCTGACCGGAGTTCCACACCTGTGTCCTAGGCTATGGACTAGACCAGGGGTGGGCAATCCCAGTCCTGGAGGGCTGCTATCCTGCATGTTTTCCATCTGTCCCTTCTCCAGCACACCTGATTCAAATGATCAGATCATCAGCAAGCTCTGTCGAGGCCTGAACAATTGAATCAGGTGTGTTGCAACAGGGACAGATGGAAAACATGCAGGATAGCGGCCCTCCAGGACTGGGATTGCCCACCCCTGGACTAGACGGTCCTGAAAACCTGCACTCAGCCCCGTTTTGAAGATGCTTATATTTGATATTTCTGTTGATTGCTCGACTTTTTGTCTTCTACTTTCTCCCCTTCATCATGTTGCGGCTGTAAATTGGGAATTTCTCCATTGGGAGACGAATGCAGGTTTTCTGATATCTCATCCTGCTTGTTGCAATGTTGCAGGGCATGAACCGCTGACGTTAACTTTGACAAGCGGCCGAGTGGCCGGGGGGCGTCGACCAATCAGAGGAAGGCGGAAGAGGAAGTGCAACGCCGGCAAAGGGAGGGAGGGACAAAGTCGCAGATAAAGCGAGCGGGACCCCAAGAACGAAATGCGCCCGAGCTCCACCTCGGCGTGTGCCTCTCTCGTCCTAACCTGCGTCCGTCCGTCTCTCTTCTTGTCGAGCATGGAGCGCGAGGAGCAGTCGGAGCTGTGCTTCCCGCAGGCGGCCAACATCTCCTGCCGGAAGCCCTCGGCGGGCTGGTCTCAAGGCGTCTCGGGGAGTCTTCTGCTCTACTTGACCTGCGCGCTCACCGTGCTGCTCAACCTGCTGGTCATCACCTCCATCTCGCACTTCAGGCACATACGCGCTTTGTTTCTCGTTGGCGAAGCCTCGTGACTCGATCGCGGGCGGCCTCAGATCGCTTCTCGTCTCCCTTCTCTCAAGGAAAGGGAACGGGGAAGGGAGGGAGAGACCGCCGTCGTACTTCGTTCGCTGCTTTCAACAGCCGGCGGCTTGGCTTGTGCGCAGGCAGCTGCGCAGTCCCACCAACCTGCTGCTCCTCTCGCTGGCCGTCTCCGACCTCCTGGTGGGCCTCCTGGTGTGGCCCGGCGAGATCCACCTGAACGCAGCCTGCTGGACGCACGGTGACATCGCCTGCTCGCTGTACAACCTGGTCTCCTTCACGGTGACGTCCGCCTCGGTGGGCAACATGGTGCTGCTGTCCGCGGACCGCTACGCCGCCGTTTGCCGGCCTCTGCGTTATAAGGTCAACGTGACGGTGAAGCGAATCCGACTGTGCGTGTGTTGCTGCTGGTTGTGCTCTCTGCTCCTGAGTAGCGTCTTGATGAAGGACGACCTGGCGCACCCCGGCAAGCACGCCTCCTGCTACGGCGAGTGCGGCATTCGCATCGAATACGCCGCGGCCGTCTTGGACCTGCTGGTGACGTTCATCCTTCCCCTGGGCGTCATCGCGGCGCTGTACGGCAGGGTGTTTGCGGCCGCCGCGTCTCAGGCGCGAGCCATGCGCTCGCGAGTCACGGGCGGCGAGCGCCAGCGCTCTCTGCCGATGAGAGCAAAGAAGTCCGAGCTGAAGGCGGCCCGGACGCTGGGGATCCTGGTGCTGGTCTTCCTGATGTGCTTCTGCCCGTACTACTGCGTGACGCTGGCTGCCGACGGCTCGCCCGGCGCCTCGGTCGTGCTCAACGTGTACTACCTCAACTCGTGCGTCAACCCCTTGATCTACGCCTGGTTCTACCCGTGGTTTCGAAGAGCCGTCAAACACATCGTCACTCTGCGCGTCCTGCGGCCGGGCTCCCGGAGGGCCGACCTGCTGTAGGGCGGCGGCGGCGGTGGGCTCGCTCGGGTGCGCGCCTCCGCAAAGCGGCACTCGGGAGCCGCCACGTCTTTGAAACGCGCACGTGATGTTGTCGTTTGTGTCTCCCGTCGTGCCCTTTTTGGATGTGGGACTCGCAGGTGAGCCGTCGGCCGACGCGTTCGCCTTCCGTCACTCGTCGGTGCGAAAGAGGAAGCGCCCCGCCTGCCGGCAGTTTCTCGCCCGCTTGCTGCCATCGCACCCGACCGCGCAGCTGCTGCCAATCAAGCAGGCCACTCTTCTGTCTTTTGGAACCTTTTTTTTTTGTTGTTGTTGTCGTGGGCCAACTTTTGCTCTTGCAAACCTCCGCTGCGAAGTCCAAGTGTCCGTCGGGGCTGCGTTTTCAAACAACAGACTGTCTATGACAAGATCCGACGGGGGTCTCCAAGTGTCCGTCGGGGCTGCGTTTTCAAACAACAAACCAACGGGGGTGGAAGGCAACCGGTGCTCGTCCCACTTGGTCTGCGGTGCTCACAAAACATGCGATGCTTTGTTGACTTTCGACAAGTCGACGACTTGTTGGCCTTGTCGCGTCACCAAATGGCCACCAGAGGGAACCAAAGGCCCTTTTGCCCTCGAAGCAAATTTTGGGGCACGAGAAAAAGCGACACGACCGCTTTTTACGCCGTCGTCCGGCGATGTCGTTTTCAGAAGCCATTACTCACATAATACTGTCGTTATTTATACCAAGGTAACAATTACTTTGAGTATTTTTTTTTTTTACAAATATGATGAATGATAAACCCTTCTAACTGCAGCACGTAGAATGTGGCCGTGTGTGTTCAAAACATAAAAAGGTGTTAGAATCGCACACAAAAATACACCGCGTTCAACTGTGCGATTTTCCGTTGAAAACCAACCCCGTTGACGTGTTTCGGGTTGCTCGGACATTTTCGGTCAGACTCGAGTGTAGGACGAGTTGTGATCCTCCAGAGGGAGCTCCGTGCACACTTTTCTTTCCCCCGTCCTATCCTGTCTCGTGTTTGGCGTCACGTTTTGCAGTCTCAATAAATCTCCACACATCAGCACCTCCCACCTGAATTCTTTTTTGGCGGTGGGTTCTTCAAAAAACAAAAACGTTCCGCTATGAAGAATAAAATGAAATGCCTGCCACATTCAAACTTTTTAGTGCTAAAATTGCTACCTGTTTTTCATTCCGTGAATGACGTTGGTTTGTTTTGAACCCCCCCCCCCCGCCCCTGCCAGCTAAGAGTGTTGGAAAACAACACCAAAGAAAAAGAAAGTCATGCAAAGTGACGCAAGACGCCATTGCGAGAGGTGACCGACCGTTGCAGCCAAACGTCTTTCGTCTTTTACGAGCGTCGCGAGCGGCCACACGGCGACTCCGCTTTTTTCACGCGACCTGTTGCCATGGAGACGAGCACGGCAGTTGCCCTGGCGACGGCGCGCTGGAGTAGCGGAGGAGGCCGCCAATCAGAAGTCGCGCTCAGCTCAGCGCGACTTCTGATTGGAGTGGTGGAAATGCAACAATTCCACACGAGATTTGTCTCCAGAATTTTCTCTCGTGCGCGCTTCGGCACAGCCACAAAGTATTGGGACGCAGCTCCGAAGCTGAAAACATGAAGACTGAGGAAAGACTCGCTGAACGTACCAAAAAATGTGCAAGTGACGAGCACAAAAAGGAAACGCGTTTTGCCTGCCTCCAGCGTCAACGTCGGCTTCGAAGACGCCATCCAGTTGATGCTCTGCAGGTGTCATCGGGGCGGGGCCCCGGTGCTCAAGGGAACCTTCAAAAGTGAAACGGAAATGAAAACACGACGTGAGCCAACAGCATAAATCAATCAATCAATCAATCAAGAACGTTTTTCTTATCTTATCGTATCACCGCATTTAGCACACAAAAACGGGTTGGTCTTCACAAACGATGAGGGCGACTTTGGCAAAACATTATCCAGTAGTTCCGCACAAAAGTGGACCACTAAAAGTTGTATTTTGGCACACTCACAAAAACAGAAATGTTCTCCGGCAGGCAAGTGGTCCAGGACCACGTCATTGCAAAACCTTACTCTCGTGTACAAAAGGGTGACATGGAAAAAAAAAAAAAAAAAATCCCTCAAGAGTATATTTTGAAGTTTACCAAACAAGAGGCTCGATTTCATCTCACCGCAACACTTTGGCGTGAAAGCACTCTTTTTGCTGAGAAAAACACATCAACTTTCACTATTTCTATACTGCCGCCGTCAATGAGCTCATCAAGGGACACACACACACACACACACACGCGCGCGCGCGCGCACACAGGGTCTGGCTGACGAGTATGCAAATATTTACACTTTATTTCTGATGCGCAGCAATGGCGGCGACGATGTCACGTGACCGCGCACACGCAGGCGTGGAGAACAACAAAAAAAAAAAAAACATCCAGCAAGCGCGATCGTGCCTCTTGTTTGTTTTTGGAGCTTCGGCTTGTTTGTCGTCGCCGTGACGACCAGCGACGGAACGGCACCACTTGGCCACAGGGTGTCGCTCTCGTCCTGGCTTCAAGGGGACGTCGGCAAACCGACCCAGTTGCATCGGAACCCGAGCCAACCCAATTCACATCACAACCCAACGGCATCGGAACGTGACCCGATCCCTCCACAACCCGATACTGCGAGGATGCCAAAGTTGGCACAAAAAAAAAATTTAAAAACCCAATGGAAATGCAACAGAAACTGAAAGTGAAGCGAGTGTGGAAAGCTCCAAAACAGGCAAGAATGTGAAAGTTGACACCCACCCCTCGCCCCTCCAAAAAAACAAAAACGTGACCCAAAATGGGAAGCGTGTCCCCGAGAGTCCGGTTCCCAGCATTTGTCGGGTGAGGGCCGAGAATCATGGAAATGAGCGTGAGCCCGACCGCAGGAGGAAGAACCGGGTGTCATGAAACGGAAAAGAGGCGGCGTGTCGCAAACGGGGAGTCGAAAAAGCCGGCGTCAGATGGCCAAGTCGTCGGAGGCGGGGCTGAAGGCGGCGCTCCGCAGGGTGTCCAGGCAGTGGACCAGGAGCAGGGTCCCGCTCAGGTGCTTCCAGCGTTTGGTGATGGGGCTCTTCATGCGGTCCAGGCCCACGTGGAGGTCCTGGATCACGTCGCGGTAGCTGTCGCCCATCTGCGCCGCCCACGTCACCAGGAAGTCGTAGGCCGGCTTCCACATGGCCTGGAGCACAGGTCACACGCGCACGTTGAAGCGGTGCAGTGGAGCTCGCGAAGAGAGAAAGAGAGAGCGGCAGTCACCTCGCCGTCCACGACGCCGTTCTTGTCGCGGTGCGGCGCCTCGTAGGCGTCCATCTGCTGGCGGGAAACCTTGGCCAGGCGCTCGGCCAACTCCCGCCAACGTCCCGCCACCTCCACCGCCGTGGTCAGGAGCACAAAATCCATCACCAGACGAGCCACCAGGCCCTGGCAGTCCAACTTCAGCAAGGCCTGAAGCACACAACAGGAAGTCGGCCCGTCAAGCGCGGGAAGCGGACGGCGGGCCGCCAAACGCCACGTGTTCTCGCCACGGAAGAAAACAGACGGTCTCTCTCGCGCTCGCTTTCCACCGCAAGACTTCCTTGAGTCGTCTCGCAAGAAGCCCCGATGTGGCATCGGGGCTTCGGCGCCCGCCGCTCTTCAAACTCTAGCTCGTGTTGCTTCTGTTTACGGCGAACAATGAGGCAGGAAACATCTGGCGGCTCGGGACGGCTCCTCGGGATGACTACACGGACGCGCCTCCGGCGTCCCTCGTCCGCCTCCTTGCCGAGTCTCCGTGGGATTGAGGCTTCCGGAGCACATCGGCGCTTTAAAGTCCCAACGGGATTCCTTTGGCTCTTCGGCGACAAAGCCGCTCCAATGAACGCGCGGTTGACTCGTGACGAACTCCTGACGCACGAGCTCCCGCCACGAGGGCCCTCAGAAATGACCAAACTCCACGACTGCCTAACTCGTAGCGGCTTATCCTGACCGATCGCGACGAGACCGCAGAATGACGACGGCAACTCAGAGAAGAATAGGACCCAACGTGGAGGCGAACTGGCTCACTCATATCATCAAACGGGAACGACGTACTAAGTATTTTATCCATACACACACGCGCGCACACACAGGATAAAATAGCAAGGAGCCCAAGAGATAACAAGTGCTCATGATAGTCGTACGAGTTAGTGGGTTAACTAACCGGGACTACCGACTAACCAATAGCAAACTAGAGAATGGGGAGGTGTCATACACACACGCGCGCACACACAGGATAAAATAGCAAGGAGCCCAAGAGATAACAAGCGCTCATGATAGTCGCACGAGTTAGTGGGTAACTAACCGGGACTACCGACTAACCGATAGCAAACTAGAGAATGGGGAGGTGTTGGGGCGGGGGGAGGTCCGAAGCAACTGGAACAACTGTGCAGCTTTCCATGTGTTGCTTTCTTCTAAAAATAGCCTCCAGTGTGGCCAGCAGCCAATCAGAGAGGGACTTGGACGTCATGTGGTCACGGCAGGGCCCCCGGCGTTAGGATCCAAGAGAAACACCAGCTGCTGCTGCTGCCGCTGCTGCTGACGGCGACCGCCCACTACAAACACTGACGACATCGGCATACGTTCTTTTCACTCGCTCGAAATCTTCAATTGCAATGTGTGCTGAAGTCGCCGCGACGTCCTCCAAACTCCTTTGCCTACAAAGGGGACACGCGCTCATGCGCTCACTGCTACTTTCTCATGACTGTCTCACACACACACTGCAGACCGTGACGGTAAATGACAGAGGCAGGCAGCAGCAAAACAAATATCGAGGAGGAGAGGGGGGAGGGGGCAGACAAAAGACCCCAAAAAAAAACCAAAAGGGTAAATACCATGAGCAGCTCCTTCTGGAAGGACTTTCGCTCCTTGCCCTCGGCATTGTTGCAGTCTTCCTTGAGCTTCTCCAGAACGCAGGCCACCCTCTCCGGCTCGCTGTCCAGCTCGGCCCGGCAGAAGTGCGCGACGGGCAGGTTGCGGTAGCCGAGGGCGTCGGCGAACGCCCGCCAGTCGCCCATGTTCTCCATCAGGACGGTGCGGACCGAGGCGTAGATGTAGGTGAGGAACTTGCAGGGCCTCAGAACCTGCTCCAGCAGCGAGGACGTGGTGAGCTCCGGCCCGCCGAAATAAACCGGCTTGAGTTGTCCCGTCACCAGCACGTTTTTGGCGTGCACCAGTCCCACGCGGCCCTGGTAGTAGCCGACGTACCATTCCTTGGTCCACAGCTGGCCTTTCAGCCTGACCTTCTCCTCGCTCAGCAGCGCCACAAAGTCTCCTTTCTTGTACTCCAGCAGGTAGCTGTTCTTGTTCTGCCGGATGACCGTCTTGATCAGTTTTCCGAACCTGAGGTTGGTGACCCGCCGGTCGCGGAACACCGGGTACTTGGTGGCCAGGGCGAGCGGGGACAGGACGATCTTGCCCACTTCCTTCTTCTTCAGGAAGCGCCGCTGCACGGACGTCTTGGGCGGCGGCGGCGCGGGCGTCTGGACGCAAAACTGGGCCAGGATGGCGTCCCGGTCGTCTTTGACCTGGATCCTCAGGGTGAAGTCCGAAACGTCCGCCCCGTTGCGGGAACTGATCAGGTAGACCAGCCGGCTGACCCTGCCCAGTTTGATCTGGAAAGCGCGGATGACTTTGGCCTGCTCGCCGGCCTTCACCTCGTAGTTGGCCATGTTGGAGTAGACCCCGACGCGGAGGTCCTGGGGTCTGGACAGGACAAACTGGTGCTTGCCCCACAGCTGGAGCGCCACGGGTGGCGAAGACTGCGCCTGCTTCCCCGCGTCGCTCGCCAACAAGGACTTGGGGGCGCAATCGTGACCGAACATGGCCACCACCGTTTTGAACGAGGGGTGAATGTGCTTGGGTCCGTACACGCCTAACGTCACCCTTTTGACCACGTGGTCCCACACGCTGCCCGAGTCCGGAGATGCCGGCTGGGAGCGCACCACCCCGCAAATGTACATGCAGGGCTCCAAGTTGTCCACGGACACCCGAACCGTGTCGCCGTACGGGAAAGTCTGCGAGATGGGGGCGTAAGGCCCCTCTTTACAGTCGCTCCTGACGCACAGGCTGCGCGCCGCCTCGCGCTTTTCCGCCTTGACCACGGCCGACGCTTTCATCTCCAGCGTGATGCCGCTTTTGGTCTCCATGTTGCTGAGCTTGAGCTCCACCACCGGGCCCGAGGTGATGCAGCGATCGTTGTTCAGCTCCAGGGGCGGGTCCAGGAGAGCTTTGATGGAGATCTGCTGGGTGTCGCCCTCGGCGACGTGGCCCTCGGGGACGCGGACGCTGATGTTGGTGTCCGGCAGCTGGACGGCGCCTCCGGAGCTGTCCAGCCGGCAGACGATGCCGGTCTCCACCGGCTGCGTCTGACCCCAGCCCGGGTTTTGGCACAGGGAGTCCAAGTCGTGGCAGGACCTGGCCAGCTTGCGGTGCGTGAGCCACGCCGTCCGGAACGCCTCCCGGCTCTGGAACTGCTCCGGGGCCGGCGCCGTCAGGCCGCCGAAGAAACCGCCGGCCGCGGGATGCCCGTCCGACTCGGCCTGCAGGACGGACATGTCCGAGAGACTGTAGGAGCGCTTGCTTCGGAAAAAGGGGTTGTCCCTTCGCAGCCCGTTCCCCGCCGTGTGACTGAGAGGGCTGGAGACGCTCGCGCCGAAAGCATCCGGGTCCGCGGCGCCGAGGGCCGATTCCGACGCCGACGGGGCGTCGAAGAGAAGGAGATCGGCGGACTTGCCCTCGCCGCTCCGGTCCGCCGGGCTCGGGGCACCGCCGTGCAGGAACGGGTTGATGGAGGCGCGCGTGCCCGCGAAAGGATTTCCGTTCCCGAAAGCGGTGGGCTTCAGAGTGACGCCGGCCCACTCCCCGACGGGGTCCGTTTCCGAAGCCGTCTCCTCCCTGGCGCCGTCGCCCGCCGTGTCAATCATGCCGCTGTCGCTGAAGGACGAGTCTCTGAAACTCACGGGCTCGACGTAGGCGGCCGGGACGTAGCCCATCTCGGTGTTGTTATGGGCGTACCACCACTCGCTGCCCGACGTGTCCAGAACGTAGAGACGGTCGCCTTTGGAGAACTTGAGCGTGGTGAAGCTGGACGCGCAGTAGTCCTTGATGGCCACGACCTCTCGGGCCGTGCCGAGGGAGGCGCTGGCGTCCAAGCGGAAGGCACTGGGAGAAGGCACTGGGAACACAAGATCGGGGACGGCGTCAGCGTGGGACTCAAGAGCGCCCGCCCAACAACCGAACCCGAGCCGGACACTCGTTTTTCCACCCCGGGCGCCGGCGCCAGCAATTTTTTCACTTGGCCGTCGAGGTGGGCGGACGTTCGCGCCTTCACTTTATACGGGAACCGTTTTGCGCCGTTCGCGTCGCGCGCCGACGGGCTTCCGGCTTGCGCGACAGGGATGGAGCGCCTTCTCGGTCATTTTCCCAGCCCAGCGCCGGTAGGAGCATGAAAACATGCCATTGCGACCGGCGCATTGGCAAGCCTATCGCGCATGCTGCCGAGCCCTGCTAACCTTTCGCGCAACAGCGTGACTCTTCACTCGAACCCGCAGTCCAAGCCCTCACCGCTAAGACCCGAAGGTCTGGGCTTCAACCCTGACCTACCCCTGCCTCGCGGTGGCCGGACCCCCTAATCCTTCACCCTAACCGCCGAAGCGATTCCGTCGTTCGGTTCGGAGCGATCTTGCGTCGGCTAGCGCCACGAGCTTACCTTTGACATCGATGAGGCCGGGCTCGGACGCGCTCTCGCCGAGGTCAATCAGCGTCCCCTCGGACCTGCATCGAGGCAGCGAAGCGTTGCCCGTGGCCGCGGCTCGGATCCGATGGGCGGCCATGACCGGAGCGGATTCTCTGGTGGCGGAGTGCAGCGTCAGCGGCGTCCCCCTCCCGTCATCTCTGAAAACAGGATTTCACCCAGTGAGTTGTGACCCGCATTTGTCATTCTTCCCGAGTTCTTGCTTGATCCCGCAGGAACGAGACGTTCAGGCTTTTGCTGAGCGGGTCGGAACCAGTGAAGGACACGTGCACGCACGCACGCACGCTCGCACGCAAGACAGACACGCGGCGGGAATTCCGCTCCGATGGCCACTTTGGGGGGCCTCAGCTGCAGTTGCCACGGCGACCGCAGGCCTTCCATTTCCGAAAGGGCTTGAGCACGGCGACGCAAACAGCGCGAGGGCCCCCGATCCGCTCCGGCTGAGCGGACGCCGCGGCACAGACGCCCTTGCGAATGTCTTCCCAAATCTCTGGTGGCCCCCTTTGCAATTTCTCGACTTGACTTCTTTGTCACGTCCTTGCGTAGCGTCGTTGCTCGTCATCGACAATTCGAGCGTCGCCTGTACTAGCGGAGACAAATTCCTGGGGCGTTCGACATACTTGGCCAATCGGGATGATTCGGATTCTGATGACCGATATGATAAATGAGCCGGGTCTGCGGCTACGTTATGAAGCGCCGATGTCAGTTTTCACCCGATTGAATGAATCCGATTTGCGCTAAATTTCCTTCTTGGGGATTCGTGATTCCAACTGCGCGCCACGTTCCTTTTCTTGACTGGGCTAGACACAATTGCACGTTTGGGCTCTCAGATGTCCGGGCACCCCCGACTTTTCTTACAGTCATGCTCCAAATCTGAGAAGACATAGGACCTTGCAACAACAACACACACTCACTTTACCCCACGGCGAAAAAAAAAAAAAAAAGGCCACACCCCACAGACATACAAGCATCCTGGCCGTGTCATGGGGGGGGCTTGTGTCCACGTTGGGCCTCTTGCCGGGAAGCAGGAAGTGAGCGGCTGAGGAGGAAATGCCTTTGTGATGACAGTCTGAGAGCACTGGAAGGACGATCCTCCCTCTGTGTGCGAGCGGCACTCGGCTCATGCGCTAGCACGGCATAGACCCGCGCGAAACAAAATCAGCTTTCGACCACCTGGACGCACTTGAGCCTTAGCCAAGCGGGCTAGTTAGCAACAAGCCACCTAAAAACGGTCCCCGCTGGCAGCAAATGCTGGAAATCATCTCCTGCGGGGGTCAAACGATGGCCACAATCAAACAATAATTCACTGGACACGCAAAGTTACTCTTTAGCATTCCTAACTGAAGTGCAAAACCGAGGTCGACCACTCTCGAGTGAAAAAAACTGGAAAAAAGTCAAATTAATGACTTTCACTGCAAACTTTTTTTTTTTTGGAGGGGGGGTTAATCCTTTGTGATTTGTATCCGTTTTGTCACGTCTGCCTCACAGTGCCGAGGCCCTGGGTTCGAATCGGGCCTTCCTGTGCAGAGTTTGCTTGTTCCACCCCCCCCCCACCCGCGCCTGCGTGGCTTTTCTCTTGTCACGATTGGTCGTAACCGAGCACTAGCAGAGTCAAGGCAGACAAATACCAAAACAATCACTCTGCTTTCACGAAGGACTCCAGAAACCAGAGAAAAATGAAAGCTGACAGGCTGAAGGGGGTGACGTTAGGGAGGAGTTCCAAGTTTTAGGACCTTCCACCGAGATGTAGCCACTTGTCCCGTTGCTGGTTCAAAGGGAGCCCCCCCTCTTCCCCAAAAAAAGTGACGAGCTGGGTTAGCCAGCTCACTAGTTAGGTAGCGTCCAAATCAAGACTCGCTGTGGCAAATTCCGAACAATTGATTTCCGGGGCTCCTTTGATTGTTTTTCCAAGCAGTGTGAAAGGAGCGCAAGTTGGCTCGCTGCTCAGCATCAGCAGCAGGTGAACAAACATTTGCATGTCGGGTTGTCACATGCTCACCGGCTGATACACGGCCGTGACCTGACCCCCCCCCCCCCCCCACACACACACACACCCCCTGCCGATGGCGGGGGGTTCCACGAGGCTTATCTAAGATCACATGCGTCGCTGGAAACAATGAAGCTCATTCAAGAAGCGAGCCGAGATCAGCGCAAGTTTCCCCAAAGGTCCACGCTGGCGCCGCGCTCCACTCCGCTTACGTCACGTCCAAAGCGTGACGCCTTGGGTGGCCACGTGTCGCGAGAAAACGTCGTTCTTCGGTCGGTGCCGCCTTCGGTCTTACCGAGCGACTCGTCGAACCGACCCTGTCGCTTCCAAATCGTCAACTGAGCGCTTTTCTGTCACTTGCGCCGGTGTTGCATTGGGGGAAATTCTGAAATCAGTAGCGTCCAACAACATCTCCAAGCTGAAACCTGATGGTCGCTTTCATCCAAGTCTATCTTTCCGATCCTTTCGCCGAAAACTGTGCGCCGTGGCCTTCCGTGACGATTGAGAATGAGGGATCTCATTTCCACCAAACGGCAGTCCCATTCCCCAAAGTTCTCTTATTGCAGTGACAACCGTGTTCCTATCCATCTCCCGCTTCTACTCGGTTGCTGCCTGGAGGGACAGCAGGAAATCACAATTGGCCCTCGTGACACAAATGTTGCGCAAGTCGTAAAGCATCTTGGCGAGCCACCAATCCAGCATTTTTTCACCTTATCGGGAGAATTAAAAAAAAAAACCCAAAAACAACAACCCTTGTGAGTTGTCGTTGCTGTTACCGAGGCAACGCTCTTTGCCTCGCATGCCAATCAAGGTTATTCATCACCCTTTTGGTCAGAGTTGAGCTGAATTCCTCGCACTACTTTTTCCTTCCCTGCTGCGCTCAGGGAAACAGGGAATTTCCCACTGCAGACAATCAATCCTGAAACAAAATGCCGCTCCAAGTTGGATGGACCGCTGAGGAAATATCTATTGATACATCTCGGCCTTCCTGTGTGGAGTTTGCATGTTCTCCCCGTGCCTGCGTGGGTTTTCTGCGGGTACACCGGTTACCTTCCACATTCCAAAAACATGCACGGCAGGCTGATTGAACACTCCGAATTGTCCCTAAGATGGTCTTTGGTCTCTGTGTGCCCTGCGATGGGCTGGCCTACTGCCCGAAGACGGCTGCGATAGGCTCCAGCACCCCCCGCGACCCTTGTGAGGACGAAGCGGATCGGAAAATGGATGGATGGATGGATAAAATAGATTGATAATGATGTCTCACTATTTGTTCAAAATAACCAGGCCTACACAGAAAATCACTTTTCTGTTCCTAAATAAATAACACCGATTATAAACAAATAATGAAGTTATCCTGACAAGGAAATATGCACCATGAAATCGATGAATCACATTGTGTATTTTTGGGCTACTTATGACAAATAGAAACATGCTGATAGCTAGTCAAGTGTTTTCTTTGAGTTGTGTGTTGTTCCCTGCCAAGGAGGGCTTGCGGTTAGCGTAGTTTTTTAGTTGCCGTTCCCAACGCAGCATTCACTGTCAGGGTCCCGGAAGTGACGTCACGGGGCCAACGCAAATTTCGTTGTTGTTTGCTGGTTTCCAATGCGACGGCGACATTCGGTGGCCTTCTCAACGTGGCCCCCTGTCGGCCTGGCGCGGACACTACGCGGTCCACTCAAAAGCGACAACGCGTCCCGTTCATAGTGTCGGAAAATATCGATCTGCAATCAAGCTAATCACGGATCGAACAAGGCCGGATGAACCCGAAGCGGGCCGCGGAGCATCCGCGTTCCCGGTCTCCATGGCAACCGCGAGCTTAACCTTCCGCCGCCGAGACGTGCGGGACGAGGAGCCGCCGTCGCCGGAGCTCGGCTTCGCAACCGACTCGCTTCGGTCGGTCGCGACGACTGGCTCGCGACAAGTAAAAGAGCCTCGAACAAAAAGCTCCACTTTGACGTCAAGTCGGGGTTGGGAAAGTCGTCGAGCCTCGGCGCTCTGCTCCCGGGATCGCAAACTTTCCATGAATCCGCCGAGCGCGCCGCCATGACGACGACCACACGAAGATGAAGGAGAAGGAGGAGAAGAAAAGATGGCAGCTCACCGGCTAGCGCGTCGCGTCGGGTCCCGCCAGCGAGGCCGCCGCCGCGGAGCTTGCTTCGCCTGTCGGCCTGCTTGTGCTGGAGGCTCCGCTGACGAGCGAGTGAGCGAGAGAGGGAGGGGGAGACGGGGAAGGGAGAGGGAGGGGGAAGGGAAGGCGACCGGCGAGAGCCCGCCCGCCGGGCCGGGCCGGGCCAGCGAGCGGCCAGCCCGTCTCATGTCACCCGGCCAGGGAGGGGCTGAAGCGGCTCGAGGTGGAGGCTCCCCACGCAGCACGTCATCCGCACCTCCGGCGGCGCTGGCCGTCTTTTCGTCACATAAGAAATACACAGCGGGGTTCTTGTGACGTCAATGTCCTCAAATTAGTTCAAAAGTTATCAACCCTGCCAACCGGTTAGCAGCTTGCATTTTGATCAGATATATGGAAGAAATTCCTTTCTGTCACATAGGCAAACCCACTTCCATTGAAGTTGGGACGGTGTCTTCAACGTCCATCAAAACAAAATACGATGATTTGTCAATCAACCCACATTTCACCGGATGCACTACGAAGACAAGCCATTTCATGTTCAAACTATAAAAGGCGGTGGTGGTGGGGGTTCAGCAAATAATCACAAACTCGAAATGTTATGGCTGCGACACGTTCCCAAAAAAAAAACGGGCCCTCCTCACATCTACCGCTTTGAACAACATTCCAAATCATCGTTTGGGAGGACACTGTAATTGGTGAAGCTTTGTAGCTGGAATTTGTTCCCCTTCTTGCTTGGCGTCCAGCTTCAGCTGCTCAACAGTCCCGGGTCACGTATTTGACGCTTCATAATGCGCCGTACATTTTCAACGGAAGACAGGTCTGGACTGCGGGCGGGCTGGTCTCTTTTGATGACAAAGCGCGCTGTTGTCACCTGTCAGTGGCGGCCCCGCCCCTCTTAAAGCAGCAGGTGAATCCAACAGCGGCCTTGTACCCTTTCCATACGGGGCAACCCAGGGGAGGCGTTGCAGAGCTTCGACACTTGTGCTTGATTTAAAAATAAATAATAATAATAATCAATTTTGAATTGCAACCAAAATATTGGACCGAAAACCTGCTGAAAACAAACCCCCCTCTTTCAAATGAAAAGCAAATGCGTTGAACTTCAAAGTGATTCTGTGGCATTCCACTAGAGGGCAGACTCATTCAACTCCTTCTCACAAGAAAGCAGAAAACAAATGCAGTGCCCCGCCTTCCTTCCGAGTTCACCCCCCCCATTCCATTCTTCGTGACTTCCTGTCAGACATCCTTGTTTCCTTTCCTCCACGACCCCGCCTAACATTCTTTCCTGACTCAGCCGTTTAGTCCTCCACGGTACCTTTCCCTCTGTCCTTCCATCCACTTGTGTTGACTGGAGACACAGCTCCCACGCATGTGTGCCACATGTGCCCCCCCCCCAAAAAAAAAAATTCTCAAGTCTGAAAAGACTCAGGAGGGGCAAGTGGCGTTTTGCTTTGAAGCAGCCACTTGTGGATCTTGTGTGTGTCATTTGCCGGGTGTTTTGGTTCCCTCGCTACCGAAGGCTTCAACCAATAGGTGGCCTTCAAGGCTCTCTGTGTTACGGGCAAAGTGTGTGTGTGTGTGTGTGTGTGTGTGTGTGTGTGTGTGGCGACACCCAAGTATCATGGAAGCGCCGGGTTAGCATTGTTAGCCACAACCAGTTGCACTTGAATTTGCTTCTAGTGCTTCGCGCGATGTTAATTTGACAAGGTTACCGTGTATCGTGTGCTAACTTGGTCAGTGGTGCTACAACCTGCAACTTCTTGAGACTTTGGTCCTGACTGACACGTGGAACAAATTTCACGATGCTTTGCTTAACTGCTCTTTGGCGGCTGGAATGATTCATTCCAAAATGACCAACAACAAACGATGGGCCGATTAAATATGACATGATTTACCTTTGGGATGACTGGTCGTCTCCAATTGGTTGAGAAGAGGTCAGGCGACGGGGTCATTGGCGTGCTGTCACTCAAGTTAGTTGAGTGAGGGCGTGGCTTCACTTGATGGCGCTCGACGAGCACCCGGTGGTCGCCCCCGGTAGTACACTCACACCATCAAGTATTCATCCGATTGTGTACGTGCGTGCATCAAGATGCGCGTTGTGTGTTAAAGTGCGGCCGTTCGACTGTCTGTGTGTACTTTTGTGTGTGTGTGTGTCTGCGTGTGCCTTTTTATTAATGTGTGTAAGTGGTTACGTGTGAGCACGAGAGTGCTCGTGTGCCTTCTCCAAGTTAGTGTACCTAAATGAAGTGTCAGTGTGTGTATGAGTGACATCACATCTTTGTGAGTCCATTGCAAATGTTTATTAAACCTTCTGGGCCACGACCACACCCAAAAAGCTAACAATAATGCCGCACACGCACACACACAGACACACACACACACACACTGCTCCCTTCATCGGCTGCAAAGTGTTTTTGAGAGGGTTGCCATGGTGATGCGGTGATTGACAAAGATCCAAACTACACAAACGCGCCTCTGTCACACTCATGCTAAGCTATCAAGATAGCTAGCTTGATGGGCGCTAATTTAAATGCTTGGTGAATGTTCGACGTGTTCCACGACTCACTTCCAGTCCGACGCATTGTTTGGCGTGTTTGCACAAGAAGTTGTGGTGGCGTGATGCCTTCAAGGTCAATTGTAAAGAAAAGTTCCAAAGGCCTTTGCCAGGACCCCTGAGGGACGCCTTACAATCTGCCACCATGGCGACTGGTTCCTTGGCAGAGTTTACATCAGATGTCCCGTTAGGCGTTTTCAGGCACTTCCTGGTCCTCCTCTCCTGGCGCTGCCCCTAAAACAGTTATCATAGCATCTTGCGTGTGTATTTATGTGCATGTGTGTGTATCAATCCGTAGGTTAAAGTGTGTGTATTCATCTGTACACGTGTGCTAGTGTGTGTGCGCGCGTGTGCTCTACCGTTCCATCTGGAGTGGTCCTCAGGTGAGTCTTGGTCACGGTCGTCGTGGTCACATGTTTCATCAGGTGGGCAGCCAGCCGAGCCCTGGGATGGGTCAGTCGTGCAGCTTCTGCTCTTGGACTCCACCCCGTCCTCATCGTCTTGATTCTTATTGGCCAATTCTGCCCATCATACATGAAGACACTTTCCAATCGTACTGCGTGCGCGTGTCTGGATGCGTGTGTGTGGGTGCGCGTGCACATACCATGCACGGAGAGTTCCTTCCATCTGTCCTTGTTGCCGTTGATGACGTCACTCAGGTGCTTCCTGAGCGCGGTCAGGTCAATGGCGGTCAAGGAGAAGTCCGTCTGTCCGTCATCGCTGTCGCCGAGGCGACCGCCGCCGCCGCCGCGTCTCTGGACAGACTCCACGGTGACCGAGCCGCTTCCCGTCAGGCTGGACAAACGGACACGTCGGCGGTCAACGGCCGCAACGCATCTCGGCAATCTCAGTCCATCACATGAGGAGGCGACACCTGAAGCGTCGGTTTCCCGTCTCCCGGGCCTTCCTCTCCTCGTCTATGAGGGGGCCCATCACCTTCTCCGTCGTGTCCACCAGGACGCTGAACGTCGGCTCCACGATGAAGTCGATGAAACCTGACGATCAAACAGTCGGTCCATTTCTCACAGATCACCGCTTCATCGTCGACAAGAGGCACGTTGTCTCTTGAAAGTCCCGTTAGCATTGCGCAAACATCCATCCATCCATTTTCCGATCTGCTTTATCCTCATAAGCTGTCGCGGGGCGTGCTGGAGCCCATCCCAGCCGTCATTGGGCAGTCGGCGGGGGGACACCCTGAACCGGTTGCTGGCTTCTTACCGATCTGCGACTGTGCGATCATGGTGGCCTGCCGGTCACAAAGAGGAGAAAAAGGAAGGCCCAGCTCCACTTCTTTGTCTCCCTATGACACAAAACACGCATTCAGGATGGCGATGGATATGTGTGTGTGTGTGTGTGTCTGTTGATGTGTGCAAGTGTATTTTGCGAGTGCGTTGTGGTGTGTGTGTACCTGTCGGAAGAACTCCTCCATGAGACTATGCGTCCAGCGGTAGTGCAGCGGCCACGTTTTAGCGGGGTGGCTAATGTCAGCAGCATGCAGCATCAGAGACAGAACCTTCACCTTGTCCACGCTGGAAACACACACACACACACGCACGCGTCACGAGGACCGCGACGGCAACAGGCGGCACTCTCGAAAAAGAGAGGCGGGTCCAGCAAAGAGTGCTCTTGGAGGATGAAAAGTGTGAGTGTTGGCCGACCTGTGCGACTGCGCGAGGGTGTTCCTCATGGTCTTGATCTGCTGGAAGTGACACGACATGTCCGTCGACATCACCATCTCGATCACCAGGGCCCGAAGCTCCCTGCACAGCAGTCAGCGCTCAAGGCGGGCAAACTCATTCGTCGAGTCGAGTGCGCGGCACGCGTCTCGATACGTGCCAACGCGCGTCCGCTTCCTACCTCCAGTCGTCCTTGTTGAGGTTGACCAGGATGTTGGTGTCCTCCTCCGCCATCAGCCTGTAGGCGGCGCTCACGTGGTGGTTCTCCAGGACCGAGCGATCGTTGTACAGGATGGCCACCTCCGACCTGATGCCGCGCACGCATCAGGTCGCGTGACCGCAAAAGGACGACCGCGCGCAAAGGTGGCCTCGTACCTGGTGTGGATGTGGAAATTGTTTGTGGTTCCCGTGTGCTCAAAGTCGTGAATGGCCGCGGCAAAAACCATGGCCAGGATTTCCAGCTCGCTCAGCCAGTGCTACGCACAAGACACGCACCCGCGCAAGAATTTTACCCTCTTGAAGTGGAAACCGCAGACAAGATGGCGTCAGTCGCTGCGCGGCCTTACCATGGTTCCGGTGTGCAGCATGAGGAAGTGCGCCGTCTGCGTGACGTCGGCGGCGTGGACCAGGTTGTGGTAGGGGTTCTTGTGCTTGCTGTAGCCGTTCTCCAGAGCCTCCACAAACTGCACCAGCGCCGGCACCGGAATCTGAAGCGCACGCACACCAATACGCGGCTACGATGCGGCTCGCGTCGCCTCGCCGGCCAGCCAAATCGCTCGGGGCTCAAGTCGACGCTCCCCGTTGAAAGAAAGCAAACGCCGCAAAGCTGTTCGGTGGCGCCGTGCAGTCTTCCGACTGGACAGATATCCGCGGTTGTTTGTTTACATTGAAAGCGAAGCTCGTCGCCAACGCGAGCGATTTGCCAGCGCCGGCCGAACGCAGCAAATACTTTCACTTTCGAGGTATGAACTGACGGCGGCCGGTTACGGTGACGTTCGCAAAGTGGACGAAGCCGCAAGTCGGGAGGCTTGTCAGGAGGGAAGGTCCGTCGGCACGCACACGTGACAACATGAAGACGCGTGTACCCTGAACCTGTTGATGAGGTCATAGCGCGTCAGGAGCTCATAGACCAGAAACTTGAGAGCGTGCTCGCCCGTGCCCTCGTGAAGCGAAAACACGTCAAAGGACCACTGGTCCACCTTCTGCAAAGCACAACAACAACAACAACAACAACAAACAAAAAGAAGGTCAGAAGGGGAAAAAACATGGAAAACTCATCATCAGAAAAGTCAACACATGAGTTCTCATCATGATGATAATAAAATGTCCCTATCGTGGGTGGACGTGCTAGCGCCAGTGTTAGCCTCGGCGGCGCTGCTCGCAAAATCCCAATCGCTCACATCAACGCATCGAACGCAAAGAAGCATTTGCAATGCTCCGGTGGAGGAAATGCCAATGTACACAACAACAGTTCATTAAAAAAATAATAAGAATAATTAAGGTTCAACGACAAATCAACAATCATCCATATTGTCTTGATAAGAAGTAGCCATATCGCCCGGCACTATGAAAGCACATTATGTTCCAAAGGTCCTTCCTTTTGTCTTTATATTCACCAGTTGAATTGGACTTTTCCAGTACGTCGGATTCATCTTCAAGATGAGTTATTGTATGTAAAAATGACCAAAATTCAGTCTTCTTTCTCAAGTCCTTATTTTCAATCATAAAAAAAAAAGATATCCATAAATATACATCTATAGATACATGCATGTGTCATGTATATATATATCTGCTTTTGTGACGTCATCTCATGAATTCATGTTTTGATCCGGTTACTTTATACAAATGAATCAAGAAAACAAATTCTCAGCGTTTGCAGTCAGTGACGTCATCGGTTTAGATGACGCCACTTCCTGTTGAAAGAACCGCAGCGATAAAAGTGCAATTAATTTTTGTTACCTTGAGAGCTGCGAGAGCCGTGGGCGGGTACGTCAGGCCGGCCATGTTGGACGTCCGTCGGTACATCCTGACGTGTCGCGCGCGCGCACACACGCGCACGCACACACACACACACACACACACACACACACACACACGCACAGATAAGAAAATAGTGCTGTGCGGCCCGTCCTCCTCCAGCAGAACGGATTGTCAGTTGCCACGACAACCGCGCTCCAAACACAGTGGCCATTTCACGGGTCATTAAGCGCACTGCCGCACACCCGCCCGTCAATGTCACCAAACTCCCCCACCAGCACGATCATCAGCCTCATGGAAATCATGGAAGGGTTTTGCTCCAAAGACGGAATGTTGTTCGTGAAAACATACGTGATGCTCGGAAGAGTTTTTCAAATCCAATTTTGCCTGAGGGAGGGTTGTCAATGGCGGTCAGCGGGGAAGTTACATTCGAGTCGAGTTTGTTTGTTTTTTAAACGTACAGATAAATCCCCCTTCCCCCCACAAAAAAATAAAATACAAAATCAGGAATTATTTTGCTGTTCTAATGTTCCTTATTTTGAATTGATTTCATTTCAGATGTTTATTTCTTGTTATTTTTTTTTAATCACTTCATGTATTCGTATTGATGGACATCGATTTCAATGCAGAAGTGAGCAGATTCCATTTCCCTTCTTTGAAATGTTGAAAAGGGCCGCTTCGTCGAGAGGCGCTTACCTCTCCACGAAGATCCCGGCCTGCACGGCGTGGACGATGCTCCTGAAGCGGGGCTTCTCTTCGGGCCGGCGCTTGGCCACGCCCATCTTGCGGCTGAAGGTGCACGCCAGCCAGTCGCGGACCTCCCTGGGCACCGACTCGGCCGGCAGCTCGCTCAGATCGTCCTCGGGGTCCAGCAGACGTCTGCTGGCAAGATTGAGCGTGAGAGCAATGTTTCACTAGCACGTCGGAGAGCATTTCCGGATGGCATGTGAAAGCACTTTTTTTTGGGTTGTTTTATTTTAGTGGAGTGCGTGAGAGTGTCTGAGTGTTGTGTCCAAGAGTGTTTCAGCAGTGTGCGTGAGAGCGTTTCAATTTTGAAGAAGGGTGAATGATTCGGCTTCCTGCGAGAGCAATTCCTTGCTGTGTGAGAGTCTGAAAAAGTGTTGCAGTGGTGTGTGAGAGCCTTCCAGTGGCTCTCGCAGACCGTTTTGTGAATGAGAGCATTTAAAGAAGAGTTGTGAGTAAAAATGTTTCACTTGTGACAGTATTCCTTTCTTTCTTTCTTTATTTTACATTCGCCTGTTTTGAGTTGTGTGCATGAGAGTGAATCCAGTGGCAAGTGTGTTTTTTTCCCGTGAGAGCGTGTGGCTCGCTCGGCCGGCGAGCGCGGGGGGGCTCGGCGGGCCTTCTGACTTGGTCTCGTCGGCGTAGACGGCGTCCAGCATGGCGGCGGCCATCTGCAGGTTCCCACGCAGCTCGGCAAGGTCCAGCGCGCGGCCGCCGTCCATCACCGCTATCGCCGCTTTCAGCCTCAAAAGAAAACGAACGGCACACTCGGCAACGGAAGGCACAAACAAAGGCAGGTCACTTTTTGCCTGGCCTGGGGGTCGTCCGCTGAGCTTCATGCGAACATAAAATGCAAAAGGCCATAGGCGGGCGAACAAAATCAGTCATGATTGTATGACAGCCTGTTCCATTCTCCCGATTAAAAAAAGCGATGCGCATTTTTTTGGGAGGGGGCAGGCAGGAACGGATTGGCGGCCTTCGTTCCGTACGGTGTGCCGAGGCACCGCGGCATCGACAGCACCGCCAACGCAGTACCGGCAGCTCCGATACTCTTCTTAGCCCCGCTACCTTCATCATTTACTTCCACATAAAAATTGTTCATCTGTTGCCATGGCAACCGAAGCTCGCGTCCCATCACGGCATCATTATCGCCGCCGAGTCGAAACGCTTGGGCCTCGGCGGACATTTTGGAAATGTCAACCAAGCTACGCTAAGCTAACGTTTAATGCGTGGTGTAGTTTTTGGCATGTTCGGAGCGCTGGACTTTTGCGGAGGAAAGGCATTGTGCCATCGTCATGGTGACCAAACGGAATGGAATGCGGTTTAGTATCCATGGCAACAGGCCGGAGACATTTCTTCAGTCAAAGTCTTCGTGTCTCGACTGGGAGCCATCATTTGGAAGTGTGTGAGTGCTTGTGCGCTCGTCTTACCTCTGTGACGTGTTTTTGTATTTCTGCCTGCAAAGAAGAACAAAAGAAATGTCGGGCGTCATGATTGGATACGGACAGTTCCAAAGTAAGCAATAACCATGACGTGACGTGCGCATGGTGGGCGCGCGCTCCGTCAGGGTGCATTGCCAGCGGTGTGGCGCCAGCCAACGCAGCGACGTTTCAAAGCGCACGACGACACGCCGGCAGACGAAAACAACGCAAAGCGCCACAAAAGCAGGATGTCGAAAGAAACACTCCGCTGTGCTTTTCTCTCCGGGTCGCTCGGCGTGCTGCATTGGGGTGTGCGTGCGCGTTGTCGCCATGGAAACAGAGGCCCGCAATGTACCACACATGCGTGCCGACATTCTTCAAAACTAACGGGACCCCGAACGCGCATCATTCAGCCTTAGCATATCATGATCGTAACATGTTAGCATGTTACATGAGAGCCATGTAACATGGGACATTAGGATCATATTAGCGGCATGAATCAAGACAGCATCACGTTAGCGTGTCACATGGTAGCATCCTGATAGTTAGCATCATGCTAGCATGATAGTGAACATGTAACATGATGGTTAGGGTCATATTAGCGGCGTGAATCAAGATAGCATCACGTGAGCGCGTGTGGCGTGAAAGCGTCACGAGAGGTAACATCGTGTTAGCGTGTGACATGACAGTACAACACGGGAGCGGCACGAAACACGTCCATCTGGAGCGAGCACCTAGCCTGACAGTTAGCATCCTGTTCGAATGCAGCGTGAGAGCTAGCATTAGCTTCCACCCTGCCACATTTGTGACTCGACCTCCTTGCTATGTCGACCTTCCACATTTGGCGCCCAACCTGATTTGTGACGTGACCTCATTCGCCCACTCTAGTTGACCTTCTCTGAGCACACGCTCGACCATATCGCTTGCTCTCCCTGATCTGCTGTCCCACCTTCTTTCCATTTCAACCTTCTGCGCCGCTCGACGCCACCCCGGCACGCTACCTTCTCCGCTCTTCTCCGTGATCTCTCGTCCTACCTCATCTGCTGGGCTCGACCTTCTCTCCGCCGCTCTCCCTAATTTCACACTTGGCGCTACCTTTTCTGCCGCTCGACCTGATTTGTTCATTTGTTCTTCGACCTTCCGTTTCATTGAGTTTGACCTTCGGAAACCCCGAATCGCAAACATCTTCACAGGCCTTGAACCTAACTAACGGCGACGTCTCACAAAAGTGAATGTTGACACATTCGGCATCAGCATCAGTGTCAGCTGTTGCTGCGCATCTTTTAAGATTTGGGGATTTGATGATGGCACGTCGAAATGTATCCAAAAACGGATTTCTATTTCCACAAGCGGTGTTGCCGAGCGACTTCTGCGGCACATTTGCAATAAAAAGAACGTGAGAGACACTTGAAGCAAATGTGTCTCCCTCACTGTTTGTTTCTCACACATTCATGTGAGCCTGCGCACGCACGTGCGCGTGCGACAAGACTTGGCACATGGATGGCAAAAAGCCTCCTTCAGCCTGTTGCATTCATTTGTTTGTTTAATGACAAATGGAGAGGACAAGATGGCCGCCGCACGGCAGGTGTGCCAAACAAGACATGATGATGATGATGATGATGATGATGATGATGATGGTGCCCTCGCGTGGTGGGATGCCTCCGAGTGGCGTGAGGGGGGGGAACGCCGAGGCTCTTGGGCCCCAGACGCGACTAAATGCCCACCAGCCGACGGGGAAGGAGGTGGGGTCTCACCGGAAGGTGAGGCGCCCAGCGCTGGCCCCGCCGGAACGGATGGGAGTGGGAGGAGCCGCCCCGCAACCCTCCTTATACAAGAATCAGGCGAGGGTCCTTGGGTGTGAACCTTGCGTGGCACGGGTGTGGGACTGGGGGGTGGGGAGGGGGGTGGTGATGGGGGGCCGATTGCCCAGGAGGAGGAGGAGGAGGAGGATGGTGATGTGGTGATGACGATAACGTCATCACTAACGCAGACTTCCAGCGAGGGTCGCCACGTGAACCTTCTCGGTGATATTCGGAGGTGAGCGTTCGCCCGCTAACAGGCGACGGAAGCAAAGGCCTCCAAATGTTGCGGATGTGCGACGAGCTCCTCGGCGAGCGCAAGCGCCGCCGGACCTCATCCGCCTCGGGGCGGCTCCACTCAGCACTCGCGGCCGACCTCGGTCGGCGCTTTCCCGCTGACGTGCCCCCTCAACCTGACCTTCGGAGGGGCCCTCCTGCGCGGGTCCGCCTTGCCGAGCCTTCCGCCCGGCCCGCCTCAGCCTTTGCAACCTCACGGAAAGGCTCCTGGGTTTTCCGGCCGCCCGTCGACCCGAGCCGCCCCCTTTTGTCGATCTCCGAGCCGATGTTCTAACTTGGCTGTCCATCGAGCCGCCGCTGTCCCCGATTTGCGATAGCGTCGTACGTATCTTGCGCTTTTCAACGCAGATCCGCGACACGCCGGTAACACGTACGTAGCGCGTAGCATGTGACACGCTCGCTTCCTGGTCGGGCCTCTCGGTTGCCGCGGCAACGATGCACCGTGCCGCCGCGATTGTGTGGCGATGACATCGGCGTCACCGGTCGGACGCCGCAGCAGTCGTCCCGATCCCGCCGTTTATACTTACATTCCTCTGAGGCGAATGAGAACTTGACTGTTGTGGTTTTGCTCCAGAGAGTCCACAAAGTCCTCCTGCTCCTCGTCCCGCGGCAGCTCCTCCACGTGTCGCTCCTCTTCCCGCGGCGAATTCCCCCTTTGTTGCCGCTCCCG